TTATTATTATTATTATTATTATTATTATTATTATTATTATTATTATTATTATTGTTGTCGTTGTTATTGTTGTTGTTGTTACCATCATCATTATAATTATTACTAATATATTATCCTTATCATCATCTTCATTATTATTATATCATTATCATCATCATTATTATTATTAATGTTATCGATGAAAGGAATGATCGGTGCATTTAAATCAACTGAAAGTCATTGGCCTACTAGATCTATATTTACACTCTACTGGAATGGAGCATCTTGAGAGAAAAGTGACACATGTGTTTCCAAATTTCCAAATATGTAATAGATGTATAGATTGATTCTCTATTCCACTTTAATGGTTGTACACTCCTGAATTTCAAAGGTGTGAAAACAGTGCGCATGGCTTGTGAATGGAAATCTCACTTGTTTACAATGGCGTCTTAGAAGACGGACTTTCCCAAGATTAGATCTAAACGAAGCTAATGAAAAACTGAAAATTAAACTACAGTGACTTCAGGCTCCTCGATGAAACTGTGCACCCTTTAAATGATACTGAACCATCCTTAACTTTGTCGAATTCGAAAGCTACGTCGTTTGAAAGTTTAAGGTGGCCAAAGTGTAAAGTTACACAAATATATTATGTGAGACAGCGTAGTGGAATCAGGCTCTCGTCAATTTTTGGGCATGTAGAGTTTTTGGTATCATCTTAAAGCTTGTTCACCTGTATTTATTTGGATGCAAAAAACATCCATTTATCTTGAATACAAGTCGAGATATTTGCAAAAGAAGGAGGTGGGGGTCACCTGTTTTCAGATGTAAAGTTAGTGAGAAAATGGAAGCCAAAGATGAATTATTTCCTTAGCTTAAGGAGTACGTGGTAACTGGAGATTTACATTTTTTATGCCTTTAATCAACGCTTTTCAGAAAAATTCACACCGAAATGAGTTCTTTAATAGGAATGAAAGGTGTTGTGCTGAAAAACAAAAAATTGATAAAAATTCACAAACCAGCGGGAAAATGCAAGTTTCTTCACTTTGATTATTTTGACGAGAGCCTGATTCCACCACACTGCCTCACATATACTAGCAGGGCCCCCTTTCGATGAAAGGAATGGTCTGTGTATTAACATCAACTTAAAGTCATTGGCCTACTATATTTACACTCTACCGGAATGGAGCAATAAATCTTCAGAGATGCAAAAATTAGAAGGTCTAGATACTTTTGTAGTAGAACACTCTAGCACTCGTACTGAAACGAATTGACACAGTAGAGGAATGCTTTTGGAAGATTGAGATCTAGAGAGTCCCCATCATTTTGTTGTTGATCAAGACCACGTCGACCTTTGCGTGCGCGAGGGGTTCCAACTGCAGAACGTCGTTTTCTTTTCGGCGTGGTCAGGCGTTATGATCTAGATCTAGATTCTAATCTAAGACCTGTTGACCTTGTTCCCAATAGCAAGAAAAAGAATTTTACAAAGGAGTCCAGAAAAAGCGATGATGGGCAACAAACGAAAGGATCACAGTCGAATTTAGCACCAAGTAAAAAAAGAAAACAGGAGGCTAGATCTATACGGGTCGCACACTTGAAATAGTGCGCAGTATTGCACGACGATGCGCGATAGTATCGAACGGAAGTAACCTGGCGGATTTTCTAAAATTACAGAGACAGAAGCGTCGGCCTACAGAAGCGGTCAGCGTAATAAAGAAATTTAGCTTTTTGCAGCAAAACTGTTTCAAAACTGAAAAAACAAAGGGCGTCATGATCTGGAGAATATTTTATAGAATCTTTTGGCAAAAAAACGCATATCGATTGATGAAGCCATTAAAAAACCCTTTGAATAGCAAAATTTGTCCTCCACAAATAGATAATAGAAGAGGAAGTACACCCCAAGGTAGCCATTTTGAATCAACTACATCACATGATCGCGGTGTTGGGCCAAAATCAGCCTTCGTGAAATTTTGTCAAATTACAGTCACCTTCTTTTCGAATGCTAACTTTACTTCATATTTTTATTTGGGTCAAAATGTGTTTAAAAAAATACTTTGCACTTTTGCCTCTTTTTATAGCAAATTTTAATAAGCTTCCTGGTTGCTGAATGCACTAACGTAGGTAGCAAAGGGCCACCAATGAAGGAGGCCAGCTGATCGTTTCCGAGAACGTAGGTTTTATACTTTATAATATAGAGAAAGAGACAAGAACACATACATTGTATGGAGAGTCACTCACGTAGATAACGAGGAAGGGATCGTAGTACCAGTAGCTGAGCCGGGACTTGAGCCAGGTGCCACGGAGCCGGACAGAGAGGTAGCCGTCTGTGAGGACCAGGTGCTCCGTCTGTTCTTCGGCGTTGATCCACACCACGGAGGAGCGAGAGGACGGGCAGCGCAGTACCTGGGGACCACACTGATGGGGCACAGGGCACCTCGTTGGGGGGACTTGTTTTCTTATAGAGTGACTTCTGTCTCTGTCTCTCTCTCTTTCTCTCTCTCTCTCTCTCTCTCTCTCTCTCTTG